AGAACTGCACACAGTACTCCAAATGAGGTCTCACCAGCGCCTTGTACAACGGAATTATACACACTTGCTTTTAAACCCTGTAGTGCAGTGGTCCCCAACCTTTTCCATGTGGCGGGCGCCAGACGACCAGCCACTGAGGACCGTGGCTGCTGGACAAGTAGCCGCTGAAATGCCGCCGAGAAGTGGCAACATCAAGAGGTGTCGCCACTGAAATGTTGCAGAAAATCGGCGGCATTTCGGCAGCAGCACTTCTTGACGTTGCAGCTTCTCAGCGGCATTTTGGCAGCTGCTTGTCTGGTGGCTAGTAGGCGGGCGCACATAGATGCCCCGGCGGGCGCCCTGGTGCCCACGGGCACCGCATTGGGGACCCCTGCTGTAGTGTATTTACAAAGGTACACTCATCAGAGGTGCCTTCTCCGGCTTCATGGTCCAGGAGCACGCCTTCGGAGGGTATGGCTCCAGGGTGATGAAAAGTTCCTGGCTGCCGGGGAGAACAGATTCTCCGCTTGCCTGCTGTGTACTCTCCTCCTCCTCCTCATCCACAAAATCCTCCTCCCTTTTGTGTGAGACTCCCCCTTGTAGGTGTCCACGGACAGTGGTGGGGTAGTGGTAGGGTCGTCCCTCCCTAGAATTTCATGCAGCTGATCAAAGTAGCGGCATGTACGGGGTTCTGACCTGGAGCAACCGTGTATCTCCTTTGTTCTTTGGTAGGCTTGTCTGAGCTCCTTAACTTTCACGTGGCACTGCTGTGTGTCCCTGGTGTCGCCTGTCCACCATGCCGTGTGTGATTTTGTCTTTTTGAATGGAGTTCTGCCTGCACAGATTCTTCTTCCCATACAGTGATCAGATCCAGTGTCTCCCATTCAGTCCATGCTGGAGCTCGTTTGCGATTCTGGGACTGAATGGTCACCTGTGCTGCTGAGTTCACCGCGCTGGCAAAACAGGAAATGAAATTCAAAAGTTCACGGGGCTTTTCCTGTGTACCTGGCTAGTGAATCAGAGTTGAAAGTGGTGTCCAGAGCGGTCACAATGGAGCACTCTGGGATAGCTCCCAGAGGCTAATACCGTCGAATTGCATCTACATTACCCCAAATTCAACCCAGCAAGGCCGATTTTAGCACTAATCCCCATGCTGGGGAGGAATACAGAAGTTGATTTTAAGAGCCCTTTAAGTTGACAAAACAAGGTTGCTCATGAGGACGGATGGAGCATTAAATCGACCCAATGCTGCTAAATTTGACCTAACCCTGTAGTGTAGACCAGGGCTAAATATTGGAATATCCACCAGTTTTGAGGATGGTCGGCTCCATTCTTTGCAGTTTGCCCTAGTTGAGCAATCTCAGTGTGGCCCCCCGGACCCGGGTCACAATTTCATAAATGCCTGGCCTGTGGGGA